TATATAGAAGCCTTAGTGTGCAATACGAAACTCAGGTTTCCTCTCGGTCCTCGTCAACATTTGTGTCCGCTTTTATACCTTTGTGACCTTAGTTGCCCGACGAAAGCCCGCCTTTTGCAAGGTTCAAAGGTGTATTGGTAGCGCTGGCATATCACAAATCTGTTAGACACTGGTGTGGTTCAGAAATACGAATCGGACTATTTTGTAGCGCATATCTGTGTACCCCGTTTCGTTTTGGCGGTCTTCTAAGCGGTCCCATTTTTATTGACAGAAAAAAGACGGGCACAGAATGTCGACAGCAAGAGAGAAAGAAAGGGAAAATTCTGCCTAAATTATCAAAACGGGTGCGCGCCTGAAAGGCTACAAAAAGGTTCATTCAGCTTATTACAAACGAATAATGCATTTTAACATTTGACATTATCATCAATTTGTTGATGTCACTTAGTCAGAAGATGCTCTTCGAAGATAACAAAGACTACATCTCAACGAGTCTTCAGTCTGCGTTTCAGAGACGTTATAATTTCGCGTTAATCACTTAGAACGATTGTTTGAAAACTACAATGGTTCCCCCGTGATTACTCACCAAATCTACCATTCGATTGCTCTGATTTCCGTCACATTTTTATGTTATACATTCTTGATTTCCTCTCTCTTTTTCCTCTCTCTGAACTCTCTTTTCTCGTCATCTAAAATAAGCGCCATCTACTTGTACAGCTGCCTTTATTTAGAGGTCTCCTGTAAGGACGGTATAGAAACGGAACTTAGTGAGCCTATACAGTAGTGTAGGCCGGTTCGGTGCCTGCGTAGTTTATGAAAGCCCACCATTGGCTATTTTTTGACGCTTATTCAACCTGACTCCTGTTTACACAAATTTGAGGAGGAATAAGGAAAAAATTTTAGTAGAAAGGTCAGTAACATCGGAAAGGTCCCACGATACTCTATAGGTATCAGGGGCGCCCCATTAAAGCGTAGTCTTAACTTTCGCACAAATTCGTTTTGCTAACAAGATTAATTGACTAACCCCATGGTCATAATTCAGCGTACGGTTTCAAGGGGCCATAGGGGAACCTGGGCAGAGAAATTCGGCTGGTTCCGAGCACATTCCAAGGCTTTCTTTTAACGAGGAAAACGACTTCGGAGGACTTATCGTTCAAAAGTTGGGAATAGCCAATTAGTATCAAGTATCGCACGTAAAGACTAGCAATTCAATCCTCGACGTGCTTCAAACTCGTGTCTACTAAGTATGGACAAGGTGGCTATTACAGCATTCTCGGCCTAACTAGAGTTTGCACAGCATCCGATTGTGGAACCATCAGTTCCGTGGCGCTACCTGGAAGAAAATGGCGGTAAGAGTTAAACAGATCAATTGATTTCGCCTACAAAGGACAACACGTCTCCATTCAACTGCCTCCTTAACCGTTATTAGAATGCTTTGATTGCTTAACAACGATATCGTAAGTTGACATTCGCGTAAATGAACACGAATCGCCCTTGCGTGATGCAGAGTTATTAAGAACCTGCACACATAGTTCGCCTAGTTTATATTTCAACGGTAACCAGAAAAATACCCGAGCTCGAACGTTGAAGATGCAACGACAAACCAAACAGAGTAGAATATTTTATCAGTTCTTTTGCACTGTCTCAAAAACACTGAAAAAAAAACTCGGTAGTCTTTGTCGTCTAACACCTTTTTTCAAAAGATTCAACTAACAGTGTCCTGGCGTTCGAATCAAAGGTTCACTCTAGATGATATATATATGACCTGACTCTCCCCCCGTACTCGAGTCAGTATGAAATTTACTAACGCATATTGCTATGTATACTAGAGCGGCAGAAAACCTCAAGCGTATTTATTGCACGTTAGGATATACTCGTGCGTAATGAAATTAAAACGTACATGGGTAAACGTGGTTTATTTGATACTTTTAAAAAAAAAACACATTTGAGCGAGACGGGACTATTTATTCTATTGAAGAGACTGTTCGAGCTATTATTTATTTATTATATTAAAGTGCACACTTGCTAATTACTTCTGTCTACATATAGATATTTATGTATTAACGTCACTAACTCCTTAGTTCTGCTCTAACCGTATGTCTGTCTAGAGGGAGTCTGCAATCGCTATCATCGGCAGCAAAACATGAATTACTTTAGGTACTTTAATGGGCCATGGCTCTCCTATTTAGGTGTAGAAAATGAACCTTGCAGGCCGTCTTTTAAATTGCTAATTTTGACTCCATTACGTTACAGTGTCACTTTAGCTGAATCAAAATATGAATCACAATCGTTTTTTCTAATACGCCTTCTAAAGGGTTAGGCCAAAGGCAGCCATTAATTCTTCAAGCAACACTTCTTATTGATATTTACTTGCATTACTGTCCTATTTAGTAAATGCGCTATGCGACAAGAAGCCATTTTGTAAATATTCTTTGTCGCAATATCGCGTAATCCTTCCATGAAC